ACTACTGCAAGAGAGAGTAGGAGAAACACTAGAACTTACAGGTATATGCAGAAACTTCCTGAATAGAGTCCAGGGACACAAAGATAGGGGAAATACTGGACAAGTGGGATGACAGCACATTAAAGTAAAAGGTTTTTGCACAGCTAAGGACATAGTTGCTAAACTAGAAGGACAGCCATCAGACTGGGAAAAGATCTATACGAACCATACATCAGACAAAGGCCTAATGTCCAATATATACAAGGAGCTCAAGAAACTAACCCCTCCCAAACTTAATACACCAATTACCAAATGAGCAAGGGACCTAAAGAGAGACTTCTCACAAGAAGAGGTAAGAATGTCAAAGAAACACATGAGGAAATGCTCATCATCTCTAACCATAAAGGAATTGCAAATCAAAACAACCCTGAGATTCCATCTTATCCCGGTTAGATTGCCCAACATTTTGAATTGAAGCAACAACAATTGCTGGTGGGGATGTGGGGGAAAAGGAACCCTACTGAACTGTTGGTGGGAATGTAAACTAGTACAACCACTCTGGATTGCACTCTGGAGGTTTCTCAAAAATCTAAATGTAGACCGATGACCCAGCCATACCACACCTAGGCACCTACTCTGAGCATCATGAACCAGGATATGACAAGGACACCTGGATATCCATGTTCATTGTCACATTATTCACAATAGCTGAGATATGGAAACAAATAGGATGCCCCCACCATAGTGAGTGGATCCAAAAAATGTGGTACCTATATACAATGAAATTTTACACAGCCGTTGGAAAGAATAAAATAATGTCATTTGCAGGGAAATGGATGGAACTAGAACAAGCCATGTTAAGCGAAGTAGCCACAATCAGGGGGACAAATGGGGCATGTTCTCTCTGATATGTGGAAGTTAGATATAAAATGCACTGGAATATGACAAATTACACAGGTTCTAGATACTCACAGTGAGACCAAAAGAGGATAATCTTAGGAAAGAATCGCAAAGGTGCAATACCTAAGTGCCTTTTCTTGTGTATATAAAATAATATACATACTGAAATGAACTCTAAAGATATGGATGATTCTTCATTCTTTTCTTATTGTGCATTCTTTACAGTATATACATTGTATTCAAATACTTACCTGTGGGAGAGTGGGCAGAAGGGCACAGTATCTTAAGAGAAAGTGTGGAAAATTGCAGCAGTGGAACACATGGGGCATTGATAAAAGTGAACTATATAACTGGTGGGTGGAGATGGGAAGGAAGGAATGGAGAGATTAAGGGAGTAGAAGAAACTGTACAAAAAGAAATGGATTTATTACCTGACACATGCAAATGTGACCCCTCTGTATATCACTGTATATACATAGACAATAGCTATGTATATTATATGTAACAATAAAGTAAAACATTTAAAAAGTTAATGTTATCATTTTATTCTAGCAATTTGGTACCATTTCTTTTTAAATTTTTATTTTAATTTAAAGATGCTGTACAGAGGGGCTACAGTTACATGAGTAAGGTAATATATACATTTCTTGTCAAACATTGTTACCCCTTCCCTTCCCCCACTATCCCTTCTTTCCCTTTATCTCCTTCACTCCCCCCACCCCCACCTGAAGTTTTAAAGCTCATTTCCAATAGACTCTTTTGTAGGTATCATTGTTGCAATGGGTCATCCTGTGACCTTGTTTCAGAGTTTTGTTATTCCCCTTCCCCTCCTCAAATTAGACAATATGTATACAAGATGCAGTGTACCAAAATTAAGTATAGTGACAGAAGGGGATATACCATATGGGGAAGAACATACAAATGCAACAGAAAAAAATCACATAGTACATTAAAAACAACAACAACAAAGAAAGACCTCGTGTCCATATCTTGGGGTTCATTTCACTTAGCATCATCTTATATGGTCACAAGTACATAGCTTTTGAGTTTTTCTGCTCATCCGATAAAATTATCCTAGATGTGTACATTTTTGCAAGTGAGGGAAACCATGGGACCTATATTTCTTTGGTCTGGCTTATTTCACTTAATATGATTTTTTCAAGTCTTTCCATTTCCTAACAAATGGGGTGGTGTCATTCTTTCTGATGGAAGCATAGAATTCCATTATATATCTATACCACAATTTCTTGATCCTTCATCTACTGAGGGGTATCTGGTACCATTTCTTAATCACAGCTATTAAAGCAAACTTGGAAACAATATTTCTCTATAAGGCAATTTGTTTAATTAAGCTCTCCTATAAACATTAAAATTTGGAGATATGTATGCAAGAACATCTAGATAGAAACAAAAGAATAAATTGACCACCAGAGAATTGGTAGCATCTTGGAAGACCAGTGGTGTTGTAGTGGGAATTGAGTTTAGAATAACCACTCCAGAACATAATGAGTATCCATGATGCTTTCCAACTCATAGCTGAATCTCCAGCTTCAACTGGGATTTCTCCACAAGGGAGAATTAAAAGTGATATAACCACTATGACTTTGTGTGACTAGAGAATGATGAGTGAATTCACCTTTCAAGACCTAAGAAATTGGATTTTGTTCATTGAGTTGATGCAAGTTTCACTTACTATTGGAGAAAATTTGACTTTCTATGAAGTCCACAGTTCATGTGTGTAGAAACATGGCAGATGTAATCCATTAATCAGGTAGTGAGTGATTTGGATTGACTTGCTCTTTTTACATCATCAGTTTCATGTGAGTAATTAGTTTTGATTCATTACCAGGATTGCTCATTTACTTAACAGTAAGAAACAAACATGATCTTTTCAACACTGCCCTCAGCTTGTATTGATACTTAAATGTTAATGATTAAATTGAAGATTTGTAAATGTAAAATTATACAAAACTTTGCAGAAGATTATTCATCTATTTGATTTTTTTTGTCAGAAGATTATTGATCCATTCAATTTTTTTGTCAGTCATAGGGCTTGAATTCTGGGCTTGGGCGCTGTCCCTCAGCTCTTCAGCTCAAGGCAAATGCTCTACCGCTTGAGCCACAACACCACTTCCCCATTTGATTTTTTATTAGCATAGAATATATGATAATTCTCATGTATATATACAGAAGATTTGGAACATAAGACCAACCTGGGAATAAGCACAGAGATCCTCCTTGAATTTTTTAATATGTAATTTATACATCTGTATATTATATTTAAAATGTCTTAACCTTGTCCATAAAAAGAACCATTAGAAATTAGTTACCAAAAAAAAGAAATGACTGCTACAGTAGAAAAATTATTTGTTTGAGAACTTTACAACTTTGGTGTGTGGGGGGGATTGGATGGGGGGTCAGGGGGAGGCTGGGAAGGGATGTGAAGGGTAAACAAAGGAGGAGGCTGCAATGCTTGATAAGAAATGTACTCATTATCTTGCCCATGTAATTGTAACCCCTCTGTACAGTATGTTCACAAAAAATTAAAATTAAAATTAAAAAAAAGAAAAATTATTTGTTTGAATGGATTAACTTTAATTTGAGCTAAGTATTAAGTGCTTTTGCACAGGGATTGTAATGGTAATTCAAAGTATATACAAAATACTATATTCTGTTTCAAATGCCTAAAATATTTAATCAATTTTTAATAGTTTGCAAAGCCGTAATTAAATCACTGATACCCCTAATTTAGAATTTTTATCTAGCCGAGTATGAGAAACATTTGCTACTTTTCAGAAAGGGTTTTATTTAGCTGATAGCTACCTTGAAATATAAAACTACCTAGAGGATGCTATAACTAACATGTTAGCATTAAGAAAGCAGTTTTATGAACTTGGTGCTTACAACTTAATTTCATTATAATGAAGTAAGGAAATGAACAGGCAAAGAATCTTCTGGGCTGAGTATTTGGGATTTACCACTTGCTATACAAACATTAGCATGTTTTAAGTGAAATGAACCCCAAGATAAGGACACAAGTGGTTTTTTTTCTTTCTTGCTATTGTTTCTAACATATTTATGAGGTACCACATGATTATTTTGTTGCTTTGTATGTCCCTCCCCCACGGTAAAACCCCTGCTTTCACTGTAGTTGATGTTGGTATAATTTAGGGAGCGAAGGGGAATATACAAATTGTTTAAATAGGCATACAGGCTGACCCATTGCAACAATGAGATGTTCAAGACACTATGTTGAAAACAAACTTTACACTTTAGGTGGCAGAAGGACGCAGTTGTGGAGATGGGAGGGAAGGGATGATAGGGAAGTGGTAACAATGCTTGATAAGAAATGTACTCAAAGGGATGTGAAGGGTAAACAAAGGAGGAGGCTGCAATGCTTGGTAAGAAATGTACGCATTATCCTGCCCATGTGATTGTAACCCCTCTGTACAGTATGTTCACAAATTAAATTAAATTAAATTAAAACTTAAAAAAACAAAAAAAAGAAATGTACTCATTACCTTGCTCATGTGATGATTGTAACCCCTCTGTACAGTATTTTCACAATAAAAAAACATATTTACAAAAAACATAAGCATGTTTTATATTCATCACCAGACTCTGCTAGCTCAGTTCTATATGACAAAAATTGTAATATCATTTTTGTAATATGTAGTAAGCTATATGTATAATCATAGTTCAATGGGTATCTACCTCGTAGCTGTGTGCTTACCATTTAGGAAGCAGCAAGTATATAGGAGCTGCTGCCCAAGACTTCATTGAAACAGCTTAATGCCCTCATTTCCTTCAAGTATACCCAGTCCTCATCATGGTTATTATATTCATCTAGATAGTATTTTTATATGGCCTTAATGTTACATATAATTTGAAAAACAGGTAAATATAAAGGAAAAGATACAGTATAGGATGCAAATTTGAGGGTGGTTTTGCTAAAGTCAATTTTAAAATTATGGATCGAACCATCTTTCCATGTAAGTGTGTATTGGTATTTGAATATGCCTAAGATAACATTGTGATGAGCAATGAAATCACTACATTTATACATTTTTTCATGTAATCTGTTCATCCTAGACTGGTCCTGGCAGCAACTCCATTGTCTGATGGAAGCCCTGGTGGATGGGAACCACACCACAGTGACAGAGTTCATTCTACTGGGCTTAACACATGATCCAGTCCTTCGAGTCATCCTCTTCATCATCATCCTGTGCATCTACCTGGTGACTGTATCTGGAAATCTCTGCACAATCCTTCTCATCAGAGTCTCCACTCAGCTCCACCACCCCATGTACTTTTTCCTCAGCAATTTAGCTTTTGCTGACATGGTCTTTTCATCTTCTGTCACACCCAACATGTTGGTTAACTTCCTGGTGGACAAACATATCATCACCTACCATGGATGTGCCATCCAGCTGGGTATAGTTGTTTTCTTTGGGGCAGTTGAGTGCTTCCTTCTGGCTGGCATGGCCTATGATCGCTTTGTGGCTATCTGCAACCCTCTTCTGTATTCAACCAAAATGTCCACACAAGTCTGTGTGCAGTTACTTATAGTAGCTTACACCAGTGGTTTTCTTAATGCTTCCTCTTTTACCATTTCCTTTTGTTCTTTACTCTTCTGTGGACCCAATAGAGTCAATCATTTCTTCTGTGATTTTGCTCCTTTAGTTGAGCTCTCCTGTTCTGTAGACAGTGTCTTCATACTTGTTTCCACTTGTTCTGCCGGCTCTATAGTTGTGGTCACAGTAATTGTGATAGCCATCTCCTATATCTACATCCTCATCACCATCCTGAAGATGCGCTCCACTGAGGGCCGCCACAAGGCTTTCTCCACCTGCACCTCCCACCTCACTGCAGTCACTCTGTTCTATGGGACCATTACATTCATCTATGTGATGCCCAAATCCAGCTACTCCACTGATCAGAATAAGGTGATATCTGTGTTCTACATGGTGGTGATCCCTATGTTGAACCCCCTCATCTATAGCCTCAGGAATAATGATATTAAAGAGGCTCTGAAAAGAGAGCTTGGTAAGAAAATAATTTCTTACTGATAGTTTGTCAGTTTGTAGGACAATATCCTCTAGAGAGACTGAGGATGTAGTTCTGTGGTAGGGCACTTGCCTAGCCTTCATAAAGCCCTGGGTTTGATCACCAACATTAAAAATGTATTTATCTACATAAATATATAGAGAAAGCTGTTTAGATGTATAAATAGACTTACCATAAATACATTAAAAGGGTAAATCTGGTGGGTCAAGCCTATAATCCAAACTATTTGAGAGGTCAAGATTGGAGGATCACAGATCAATGCCAGCCCAGGTAAAGAACTCTTCAAAACTTCATGTCATCCAATGGTGTTGTGTGGCACTGTGAACCTGGTATCTAAGCTACAAGGGAAGCATAGCAGTGTGGCAAAATATCTCACACTGCAGTCCTCAAAGATACTGGAATGCACAAAGTAGGAGGGTCACAGTCCAAGCCAGCCTGGGCATCAAGAGAGACATTAGCTTGAGAATAACATGCAAAGAAGGGTTTGAGACATGCTTTAAATGGTAGAGAATCTATCAAATGTGAAGTCCTGACTTTAATCCCAAGTATTGCCAAAAAAGAGATACAATAAATAAACAATATGTGATAAGAACATAATATGTGATATAATAGATAATATCATAATAATAGGAAGCTGACTGTGGTTGAAATATTTCTTTTGATTTATTCTTGCTCATTAAGAACCTTTTTAGGGAGGAGAATTTTCAGGTAAAATGGCAAATAAAAGGCTCAGCCTGGCGCTGGTGGCTCATTTCTATAATCCTAGCTACTCAGGAGGCTGAGATCTGAGGATCCTGGTTCAAAGCCAGCATGGGCAGGAAAGTCCATGAGACTCTTATCACCAATAAACCACTCATAAAACTGAAGTGTCACTGTGACTCAAATGGTAGAGTACTGGCCTTGAGCTGAAGAGCTGAGAGACAGTGCCCAGGCCCAGAGTTCAAGTCTCAGCCTCAAGACCAACAACAACAACAAAAAGGCTTATAATGACTTGTCTGTAATTTAAAGATTTTTCTAAAGACTATCTTCCCATGGCATTATGCCACATAACCACTTTTCTTTTTCATATTTCTTTTTTGTATATATTTTTATTGTAAAGATACTGTACAGAAAGATTACAGTTACATGAGTGAGGTAATGAATACATTTCCTGTCGAGCATCGTTGCCTCCTCCTTTGTTTATTTTATTGTGAAAGTACCATACAGAGGGGCTACAATTACATGGGCAAGATAACGAGTACATTTCTTATCAAGCATTGTTGCCTCCTCCTTTGTTTCATATTTCTTAACTAATAAACTATCCCATTACTTTTACTAGAATTGACTAAATTCTTCTCATGCTGCACAACACCAAGACCATGGTTGATTAGTAACATCAAGATGCTCTGCCATGTAGTACCTCAACCCATTTCCCTTTACCTGGGTTCCCTTCACATCTGCTTATGATACACTACAACCTAAAAATTGTTTCCCATCTTTAAGAAGCTCTTCTGAAGCTGGAGACCTAACTAAGGAAATCATTGTTCTCTTTCAGAACCCTGCATATTTTCTATGAAATACTCCTTGCACAGGTGGCTACATATTCCATGCATGATGCTAGATGCTTCATGTTGACATGAATGACACTATAGCTTCCTCTTCCCATTGTCTCTAATTTTCACGGTGTTCCTTGAATGCAGTAAGCATAAATATCTATTGCACATGAGTGAATGGAAATGTTAGTGTGAATAAGTGAATACATGGAGTTTTAAGTCTTGTTTGAAACTCAGATTCTGATACTTGAAGTGTAGCACAAGGTGTAGAGCATCTATCTAGCACTTGTGAGGCCCTGAAAAAAAAAACTAATACCACCAAAAGAGAAAGAGAAAAAGACAAAGAAGAGATGGAAGGAGGAGAGAGGACAGGAGAGGAGAGGGAAGGAAAAGAAAGGGAGGAAGACAGGAGAGAGTAGGTGAGAGAAGAGTAGGAGAGGGGAAAAGAGAAAGGAAAGGAGAGGGAGGAGGAAGGAAAAGGAGAAAACAAAAGAGAAAGAGAAAAGAACATTAGTTACTAGTATCCCAGCCTAGTTTACTACAGATATGTAAAGTATCTTACTGAATATTTACTACCTTATGTATTTGAATGTTCCAAGAGTTAGATCTAGAGACCTAATGTTAATAATAATAGCAGTAGACTAGTAAGGAGATTAGCCACAGCAGCAGATAAATCAAGATTGTTGACTTCGTTCCAGGTATTCTTTTGGGTAATTTGTAGGTGTTAACCCAAGTAATCCACATCACAATCCTATTACATTTTATTCCATGCTTACTTTACAGAAGATTCAAATGATACATCTAAAGACTAAGAAAAAGTTCAAGCACACAAATGTGCTCCTAACAATTGAATCTCTGAAGGTAAGCACACTTGTGGCAAGCTGGAGGGACAAGCGGCTTGAGAATTTTGACCCCTAGGTAACACACATATATACATATATACATGCATGTATGTTGTTATTGTAAAGATGATGTACAGAGAGGTTTCACTTATATAAGTCAAGTAATGAGTACATTTCTTTTTGAACAGTGTCACCCCTTCCCTCTCTCTTTCCCAGTTCCCCCCCCATCCCCTGTATAGTTCATTTCAACATAATGTCTAGTGAGTATAAGAATGATATTGTATCACTCATAAGAAAATGGAATACTTGGGAAAAAATATATTATGTAAAGTAAGCCAGGCCCAGAGAAATATAGGTTGCATTGTTTCCCTCATTTGTGGTAGCTAGAATGTGTCTATACATCTACAAGTAAAACATGATGGATGGTAAAAGACAAAAAATATACTTGGACATGATAAATTAGGACTCTAGACATTCAACAGTGAGACCAAAGGAGGATATTCTTAGGAGAGGATCACAAAGGCTCAATGACTATGTGCATATGGTCATATAAAATGATGCTTATCAAAATGAACTCAAAGAAGTGGAAAGAAGAGATTTTTTTCTTTGTTACTGTTTTTGTTTTCTTTACCTTTTGTCTTGTTTGGGAGTTTATCTGTTTGGGGGAGGGTAAGTGGGGCACAGAAAGGGTGGGACAAAGGGTGAACTCCTAAAGTCTTTATCTCTGACATATTCCTTTCTGCTGCAGGTATTGGTAGGGTGTCTACCTTTGAAACTGCCAAACTCATGTGCAGTTCCCTCATTTTCTGAAATAAAATAAATAAGCATCCATATAAATGTGTCTAAATGGTTACAGGCCTAAATTCTGGTTCCATTGAAGAAAAAGTAGTTTAATATCTCTCTGAACCTACCTCTTAATATTAAAAGGAAAACATGAATCTCCTGATGGAAAAGAAGTATAAGACCTTAAAAGGTAGGAAGGCAAGTTCTCACAAATTTCAAGACTTGAGGAAAAGCAAAGGAGAGGGTCTCATGAATTTCCTTTTTTTGGGGGGGGGGGCTGAACTCTGGGCCTGGACGCTGTCCTTCAGCTCTTCAGCTCAAGACTAGCCCTCTACCACTTGAGCCATAGTACCACTTCCAGCTTTTTTTATTCCGCTTATGTGGTGCTGAGGAATCGAACCCAGGGCCTCATGCATGCAAGGCAAGCACTCTACCACTGAGCCACCTTACCCACCCGTGAATTTCCTTATTGCTTCCATGTCTTCTGAAAGAGCAACAGGGAGCTTCCTTCCCAGCACCATCAGAGTGATACATAAATAAAAGTGTTACACTCCCTAACCAGAAAATTGAAAAAAGGTGGTCTTGAAGGAGCTGAAAATACTTAAAAAGTGACTACAACACACACACACACACACACACACACACACACACACACACACACGATAATACCAACACACTTACCGAAATTTCAATGGAGCCAGCTGAAGGAATGAACTCCACCCCTCACCCCTCCTGCCTATTCCCAGCCTGAGCAGTGTCAGCAGTTCTGCCTGGGAGATGAGCTTCAATGTCATCGATGAAATGAGATGAATTGAGAGGAGAGGGAAGGAGAGAAGATATGCGAGGAGAGGAGGAGAAGAGTTATGAGATGGAACTACTTGACATTACTCTACCCCCTCCACTGGGAGTGCAGCTGTGTGGGAAGCTGGATCTCTGCCGCTGTCCCTTCCTGCTACAGGAGGAAGCCCTCCATTCCTTCTTCCCTAACCTCGAAGAAGCCCAAGGCAAGGAGGTTGCCAGCCTGATGCACCTCCACTGGAAGGGGGCATAATGAGAGGTGGGGCTGAGCTTCCACTGGCCCATCTGGAAGAAGAGAACATGAGTCACACCTCGCTGAGGGCAAACCACTATAAGTAGGCCCAGCAGGAAGCTGACTTCAAATATTTGTCTGGCCATTGCAGCCATGGAAGGCCACCTGCAAGAATGTGAATGTGGTCCAGCCTTCAATCACTAATTTCTTTTGATAGTAATGAAGCCATTGGAAAAGATCAGCAAAGAAATAGAATACCCTCCCCCCTGTTCCAAAAAACCCCAACCATATAAGTAGAAAAACTTTAAAAGTAAAAATACTCTCATCCGAATTAAATAAACAGCCTTGATGAGTGGGCTCAATCGTAGAGGGCAGTCCTAGGAGTCAGAGCTGCAGAGAGGAGGCTCAGAAGATTTGACTGAAGAGAAACAGAATTGATCTGATCTAAACAAAAAGTAAATAGATGAGATTGAGCATGTCCAGGGTGGTATGGCTGTGGACTATTGTCACTATATTCAGTTTTGGTACCCTGGTATTGTATATACGTATATCTGAATTAGGGAAGGGAAGGGGAACAACAGAATAGTGAGACAAAGGACAAGGGGGAGCCAATGCAACAGCAATATTCACAAGACAATATATTGGAAATGATCTGTACAACTTGCGGAGAGGGAATGGGAGGTGGGAAAGTAGGAGAAAAATGAGGGAAGGGGTAATAAGTTTGGCAAGAAATGTACTAATTGCCATCCTTATATAACTGTAACCTTTCTGTACATCATCTTGACAATAAAAAGGGGGGAATAAATAGACTGGAA